TGGTCATGTACATTTACTTCCTCAAGGTAAGGTCAGCATAATCTAAGAGCAAAAAGCTAAATATAAGCCCTTGGGGTCAGCCACACTTGAAAAGGAGGAGGAAATTCAAACAACAAAGTAAACTAGAAAGAGCAGTAAAAGGGAAGAAAATCAGGATGTTACACAGTCAAAACAAAAAAAAGAAAAATATTTTTAGTGGTACCAAATGCAACAAAGACTTCAAGAAAGAGAAGCAGCAAAAAGCGATTTGACCAGGAGGAAGTTAGCAGTGGTTTCTGAGGTTAAGTGGTTTCTGACTGGGCAGGTGGTTTCTATTATATAAATGGTGGCTTACATAGAATGAGATGTTGAGATCATCTTATTTCACACAGAACATTAAAGGGCCATTATAATTAGACTCACTCATTCATTCATTTACTCCATTAGCATTTACTGTGCTCTTACAAGTGCCTGATGCTACTAAGCTCCATGGGGTCAGGGTACCTAATAGAAAAACCATAATTAAATCATAGTGGCTTCTCTCTCACAAGCAATCTGGGTGAAGTTTTAAAGCAATGACTTAAAAATGAAAGTCTTATTTCCCTATAGCTGTTTCAGTTTATATATTCATTTCTGACACATTAGCCTTTTGTTTTCCTTTTTAAATTAGTAAAGTTTGGTTTGCCACATCATAAAGTGTCAACCTAGAAAAGTAGCAAACTTAAAAAAAAACAAATCTCAAAGTATCTTATATATGCTGTGAGGAAAAGCAGAAACGGCATTAATATCTTAGGTTAATTTTTTTTTCTGCAAACACAAAAACCCTCACAGAATAGTTCAAAGGAACCAAAGTTTACTGTTTCACAAGAAAATGCATATATGCTTTGTGTCTCTTTTTTTTTTTCTTTTTTTTTTTTTTGAGACGGAGTCTCGCGCTGTGGCCCAGGCTGGAGTGCAGTGGCCGGATCTCAGCTCACTGCAAGCTCCGCCTCCCGGGTTCACGCCATTCTCCGGCCTCAGCCTCCCGAGTAGCTGGGACTACAGGCGCTGCCACCTCGCCCGGCTATTTTTTGTATTTCTTAGTAGAGACGGGGTTTCACCGTGTTAGCCAGGATGGTCTCGATCTCCTGACCTCGTGATCCGCCCATCTCGGCCTCCCAATTGTGTCTCTTTTTATTTATTATATATTTTTTTGAGACGGAGTCTTGCTCTGTCGCCAGGCTGGAGTGCCCATCTAGTGATCCCTCCCATCTAGTGATTCCCCTTTCTAACCAGCTACTCTAATTAGCAAACTATTAAAGACACGCGATCTCTGCTCACTGCAAACTCCGCCTCCCAGGTTCACGCCATCCTCCTGCCTCAGCCTCCCGAGTAGCTGGGACTACAGGCACCCGCCACCATGTCTGGCTAATTTTTTGTACTTTTAGTAGAGACGGCGTTTCACTGTATTAACCAGGATGGTCTCAATCTCCTGACCTCGTGATCCACCCACCTTGGCCTCCCAAAGTGCTGGGATTACAGGTGTGAGCCACCGCACCCGGCCCTGTATCTCATATTTTAACAGGTTTGCTTGGGTGCATCACCAACTTGGATTCTGACAGGAGGCTGAAAACATCAAGTCCCAGAGATTCTTTTGTGAGCTCTGAGGAAAACCAGAAATGGTATTTATACCTTGTATTAGGTATTTATTTCCACAAAAGTTTGATGCTTACAACATAAACCCAACAACCCACCTGGAATAGGCCATTGAAATCTACTAAGCTTTTCACACTTTCAGAAGATATACCTAGAGATCTCTGCTTCTCAAAATGTCACCTTGCAGTGAGGAACCTGGTGCCTGGAAATAAGGCAACCCACATCAATTTTGGGACATCAAAAATGAAGTATTTTAAACATGGATATAAAATGAAGTATTTTAAACATGGATATAAAATGAAGTAAAATGTAAAATTCTCCAGATTTCTATAAAATAAAACTCAAAAGCTCAAAACCCCCAGCCTGTGCCACTAAGGGAAACTCACTCCCTCTGCCATTAGGATTGTCACCATGGAAACGAGCAGACCTACCGTCTCCTGTGGAAACTGGATCTCTCTCTCCCATCTAGTGATCCCTCTTTCTAACCGGCTAGTCTAATTAGCAAACTATTAAAGACACGTGAACTTTCCTTTGTACCTGTTATCATCAGGTGAAATGTTTCTTCATTACTTTCAGAATTAAGTATACAATTCAGCACGCATATGCACATATCAGCTATAAGTGAGTTTTCTAACTGGCTATCCAAAATAAAACCATCTTAAAAATAAACCACTCCACCTGAAGAGTGATGTGTGGTGTTTTCCCTCTTTCTACATTCTATATTTTAATTTTCTATAATTTTTCCTTTTTAATAATGAGGGAAAACTTTTTTTTTTTTTTTTTGAGATGGAGGTTCACTTTTGTCGCCCAGGCTGGAGTGCAGCGGCACGATCTCGGCTCACTGCAACCTCTGCCTCCCAGATTCAAGTGACTCTACTGCCTCAGTCTCCCAAGTAGCTGGGATTACAGGTGCTCACCACCACACCCAGCTAATTTTTGCATTTTTAGTAGAGATGGTGCTTTACCATGTTGGCCAGGCTGGACTAGAACTCCTGACCTCAGGTGATCCACCCACCTCAGCCTCTCCAAATGCTAGGATTACAGATGTGAGCCACCATGCCAGCTGAGGGAAAACTTTTTTTAAAAAAATTCTAAATATAACTTTAAAACGTTCTTCAAAACCACTGCAGTGAAAAATATGTATTTGAAAATTGCTGATAATCCTTTAAATATTTGCTTCTTTAATCTCAGTAGCCAAAAATCTGATTTGCTATACTTGAGTCACTATTTTTCAACTTAATTTTCTTATCACCTTATCTTACGTCAAAGGCCACACGTCAAATGTTCTAATGGAGAATATCCTTTTTCTGCAATAACTCCAAGCATTTTAAAACCCATACTCAAAATTAATGATTATTTAACTAGTAGTTTTTGCCCAGTTTTTTTTTCTAACTGTAACTAACTCCCCCTTACCATCAATTCAAGGACTGTGGCAATCAGACTAGATAGGTTCTACTAATGGATGTATAAAAAGACTCAAAACCAAAGATATAATTCCCTGACTTCAACTCAAATTTTAGTAATTATTTTCCTTATTTCCTTATTATCCTGAAGATACAGGTTACATCCCTCCCTATACAACTTTTTAATGCAAACTATACAATCAAAAAAGTCTGATCTCTAGGAGAACACTAATCATATGGTATTTTATAACATGGAATATAATTTTTTCACAGGGAACAGTTAATATTTGCACTTTAAGATTTTTTGTTTACATTAAGTTCTGGGATACATGTGCAGAATGTGCAGGTTTGTTACATAGGTATACATGTGCCATGGTGGTTTGCTGTACCTATGGGAACAGATTTTTTAAACAAGAACATTAATTTTTTTAATACAGAGTTAAGGCCTCAGGCTTATATTTCACATCTAAAAACAGTACTCTGAGTAGAAATGTAGGGCTTAGCGTTCTCAGTGGAAAACAACAACCATCCCAGCAGATTTTCTACAAGTTAATTTAAACACGATCTTTTTAGAGGAAAACAGTATTTATTGTATAAAAGAGTTATACTTATTAATCAAAGGCACAAACGAAAACTAAGACTTAAAGTTGACCATAATATTAACAAGTCATATCAACCTGGTACCAGCTAAATTTAATGAAGATAAGTTCCACTGAAATCCTAAGGAAAATACAATAATTCCGACACCATTTAATAATTAGAAACTTTCAAACAAGAGGGAAACTATGAACATCATAATAAATGCCTCAATTTGGAGGCAAAGAAATGTAAGTTGTGTGCTGAAACCTGATGTATCACAGAACATCAGTAGTCCCTTACTGTTATCACCATCTGGCACCTTCATGAGGGATGCCATCTATTGACTGACTGAAATTAAATCACACAATGTGACTCTCTGCCTGTCATCAGAACAGAGAGTAATAAAACATTTTAACTTCTTGGTGCGAATTATACAATCAAACCAGATAACCTTGACTGGGAAGGAGCCAGTTCAGAGAGGTCAATTTTCTATCACACTACATCAATAGCAAAGTCAGAGGAATCAATTTTCCATCTTGTAACACTACATCAAAATAGCAAATTCACAGTGCCTTCCAAAGGCCCCCCACTAAGAAAAATAACAGTCAAGAGGAACACAGGATTACTTCATTTACAATTTACTAGCTCTTCCAGTGTTTCAAAGGGATACAGGGTTTCAACGATCTAACACGAACGGGACAGAAGGTGGACTTAGAACATAGCAAACACACATCTTGATTGAATCAGCCTATTGCGAGCACAAATCTTGATTGAATCAGCCTATTGGTGTAGTTTTCGGTCTACATACATCTTGATTGAATCAACCTACTGGTGTAGTTTTTTGATCTATCAGTAAGTAGTGTCGTCAGTTCTCCAACCAGGCAATTTCTAATTCACGGGGGGAACCTAAATGTCCTAAAATTAAACAAAAACAGTTAATGTACTTGTTACCCAAATTTCAACATCCATATTTGCTTACATACATTCTAATCTATTCCTGCTAATGAAGGCCTTCCTATGTGCTCCTAGTCAGTGGCTCAAGTAAAATGCAAAGTGTGCCCTAGGGATCAATTCAGTCAACAACAGTTCTCATAGTATTTTACCACTCAAATACTAATGCCATTGAAACACACGTCTTCCCAAAATCTGGTTCCTTACTAGACCAGATGAGTTTACGGCTTGAACGATAGCCCACCAAAAACATCTTTTTACCAAGAAAGCCACACTCTCAACGACTGATGGACTGTGGTAAGTGAAAACTGTGAAAAGGACTAGGGAAAACGTCAATATTGGTGATGAGCAGAGTGCACCTGCCAGGGAACCTCACAAGTAAGGTCATTATTGGGATTCTTTGCTTCTCTTCTCTCTAGGCTGAAACATGTTAGAAAAGGGACCACTTATGATCTCTAGGCTGACATGTGTATATAAACCCACACGGGGACTCTTCTGTTGCATAAAAACAGAGAGCATGCATAGAGAAGCTGTAGCTAAGTCATTACTTTCTGACCATGCCCTGTGTATAGAGACCTAACCTGCCTACACAGGGCTTACATAGCACCAGCTAGGTTTAAATATACTACTAGACAAGACATTCTTGGCAAACTTAGTCCATGCATCATATACACAGGCTAGAATAAATATCAACACTGACAGAGCTGAGGACCAAAATGAACCCACCTTAAAGGTAGAGAGGAATAGGCCCGCAGATACATTGGGTTACACTATCTCATACTGGTTATTTGTTATGGCACGAGAGAGGCAGTAGGCGAGAAAAATTCCAATCAGCTAGAAATAAAATAGGAACAAAATTAAATACATACACAAAACAGCTTGAAGACCTCAAACTATATTCCCCTCTCACTTGTAATTCGCCTATAAATTTTCTTCCTTGAGTTTTTCTAGAGTTATGTTTAATACTCTGCACCATCTAGATCACATTCAAAGAATGTAAGTGAAGTTTTATTGCCACTATGACCCAGAATTTCACAACTCTTACCAAAGGAAAATCCAGCAAACTGTCACTCAAGGAAGATTCAGTCACAAGTTTTGGAGAAACTTTTCTTACTCTCATTTCCCAGAAAAAAACAAAGACATGGTTTTCAGTAAGTATCTTAACAAGTGAAATCTCCATCAACGAGGGCAGAGATTTTCCTGGAAAGATCCAGAGCAGCGCTACAGTAATGAAAACGTTCTAGAATCCCTGTACTGTCTGATATAGTAGGCAGCAGCCACATGGTTACTAAGTATTTCAAATCTCCAGCAAACTGAGGTTTTAATTTTATTTAATAATTTATAACAACTCAAAGGTGGCTAGTGGCTACTGCATTAGCATAGATTTAGATATAGCTTTGCTTGCTACTTTAAAAATACATCAAGACTAAACTTGAATTAGTCTTATTTCTAGTGTTTAATCTAAAAAAGAAAATCGTTCAGAGCCATAAAACAAACTTCATGCTACAGTGAGAAACACAACTTGAGAAACATAATTTGATCTACAACGTGGAATCAACCCAAAACAACTGGTACATAATGAATATGGGGGTAGCATCATCTAAATTTTAATAGGTTGGAACTTGTATGCAACTCATCAGGCAGTTGCAGCCCAGGAAAGATCCTGATAACGTTTTAGAATCTTGACTGACCGCAGAGAGAACCAAGGTTCCTATCTAATGTTTTGTTTCATGAACTATGATACTGGAAAGTTGCCATAACTAAGAGGGCACTGAGTCTTTCCACAGTTAACTGCTTTCAAAAGATATGTACTGCTGCCAGTTAATTCTAAATCTTACATTTTTTCTTCTTTTTTTTTTTTTATTATACTTTAAGTTCTGGGTTACATGTGCAGAACGTGCAGGTTTGTTACATAGGTATACACGTGCCATGGTGGTTTGCTGTACCTATTAGCCCGTCATCTACATCAGGTATTTCTCCTAAATAAAGTATTTTTATATTGTGACCAGTAACTGAGAGTTTTGTGAAAATGCAACTTCCCTAAAAATGTCCTCACTATCCAGGCCCCTGAAGCAAAAACTTTAAGCCTTAAAAGTGAAAATATTGCTGAATGCAGTAGCTCACACCTGTAATCCCAGCACTTTGGGAGGCCGAGGTGGGCGGATCACTTGAGGTCAAGTGTTCGAGATCAGCCTGGCCAACATGGTGAAACCCCATCTCTACTAAAAATACAAAAAAATTAGCCAGGCGTAGTGGCACACACCTGTAATTCTAGCTACTCGGGAGGTTGAGATGGGAGGATTGCTTGAACCCAAGAAGTAGAGGTTGCAGGGAGCTGAGATGGCACCACTGCATTCCAGACTGGGCAACAGAGCAAGACGCCAACTCAAAAAAAAAAAAAAGTGAAAAAACTTCTAGCTTACACCTACAAGAGGGATGAAATATTTCCTAAGTAACTACAAAGACTTACTTGGAAGCAAGCAACTCCAAAGGAAATTCCTGCAACGACTCCCATTTCTGACTCTATAATGGTCATCACCTTTATAAAACAACCCTAATGGGAGGAAAAAAACAAAGATTAAATACAGTACAAGCAGCCTGTGCTTTTCTTTATGGTAATAAATACTTTGATCATATACCACTGCAGGAAGATATATTTAGGGTAATAAATACTTTGATCATATACCTCTGCAGAAAGATGTATGTATCAGAGCCTTTGATTTTCATTTTATTGAAATCTACTCTCTTCCATATGTTCTCAACAGAACAAATAATTATTCCCAACTATTTCCACCTTTTGGATTATATATTTAAAAGTGTTACTTCACTTGAACCCAGGAGTTCAAGGCTCCAGTGAACTATGATCACACCACTGCACTTCAGACTGGGTGACAGAGAGAAACACTGTCTTTAGAAAAAGTACTAAACAATAAATAAACAAAAAAGTGTTACTTGCTAGCTGTCTGAACTCAAGTCTTACCTGCCTTATTTCAGCTTATATTTAAAAATTAAAAACTGGCCGGGCGCAGTGGTTCACGCCTGTAATCCCAGCACTTTGGGAGGCCAAGTCAGGCAGATCACGAGGTCAGGAGATCGAGACCACCCTGGCGAACACGGTGAAACCCCGTCTCTACTAAAAAATACAAAAAATTAGCCAGGCGTGGTGGTGGGCGCCTGTAGTCCCAGCTACTCAGGAGGCTGAGGCAGGAGAACGGGGTGAACCCTGAAGGCAGAGCTTGCAGTGAGCCAAGATCGCGCCACTGCACTCCAGCCTGGGCGACAGAGCGAGACTCCGTCTCAAAAAAAAAAATTAAAAACTGGGTCAATTTTGCATTCAGTTAAGTCCTCAAATATTGTCAAATAGAAAGTTTTAAAAGGCACCTTACTTCATTGTTTACTTTGTCTGGATCTCTCTGTGGAGTACAATCTTCACGTTTACAGCAACTCTTAGGAAATCCTTTTTCTGAGTAATAATTAGTATCTGTCCAATCTCTATAATCGGTGACACCACAACAATGTAACTGAAAAACCCAACAAAAGCATTTACAGTTTGTATTACAACTTTGTAGTCAAACATTTAACCTAATATTGCAATTTGTGCTCAAAACATTTACTAATCTCAATGATCTCTCTCCTGAATTGATTCAAGAGATGAGCACTGGGTCCTTGATTAGCACCATGCATGACAGTTTTGTATTGGCTTTACTTTCCTGCTATAGTTGGTACTAACAGTACCCGGACTATGATGTAAGCAGGGACAGAAGAGAACAGGTGCACATGGGAGGAAAATGGAACACATCACACTTCTTTCCCCTACAAGTGGATAGCATCTAGTAGCCAGATTCTACTCTTTTCTCTGAGGCAGCAGGGAATGTGTTCCCCTCTAGGTGGTGGTTACCACTTACCGTACTTTGGATCTTGTCTACTGCATGGCTTCTATAATCTCCTGTAGAGTTATACTGCTTCAAAGCCTTCTCATAATTATTCTTAAAGCTGTTCTTAATCTATAGCAAAGAAACACAATGTCAGTAAGAAAATCCTCTAGAAAGTTCTTTTGGTTTCAGGTCAAGTAAGTTCTTGAATCTGACCAATGGTCATATCTTTGACAGCAGCAACATGTATGGTAATTAACTTCCATGGTACAATCCTGTCCTCTAAGGGATATAGGTTAGCTGAGGGGACTACTAAGCAAAACATTAAAATATATGATGAGAACCACTACAAGTTCAAAGTGCTGTGGGAATATATATTTATCTGAGTGGCCATGCAGTACTGCTGTATTCTGCACCCTGCTAATCTTTTTCCACTTTAAACTGAGTACAAATTCGATGCCTATGGAATTTGTAAGCTACAAAACCTTACTTTGGGAGACTGTGCTACCACTTTATAAGAACTCTCATTGATGAGCCTTTGCTACTCACCGAATGATATCTGAACTACCCCAAGTTTACCTGATTTCTAATTCAATATTAAACTTTTTTTTTTTTGAGATGGAGTCTCACTCTGTCGCCCAGGCTGGTGTGCAGTGGCGCGATCTCAGCTCACTGCAAGCTCCGCCTCCTGGGTTCACGCCATTCTCCTGCCTCAGCCTCCCGAGTAGCTGGGACTACAGGCACCCACTACCATGCCCGGCTAATTTTTTTTTTTTTTTTTTGTATTTTTAGTAGAGACAGGGTTTCACTATGTTAGCCAGCATGGTCTCGATCTCCTGACCTCGTGATCCAACCGCCTTGGCCTCCCAAAGTGGTGGGATTACAGGCGTGAGCCACCGCGCCTGGCCCAATATTAAACTTTTGATGATTTGCATTAAGTATATCTAATCTTTTCAAAATGCAAGGCATAAGAAGGTTATCAATTTTGTGCTTTGAATACTTTCCTATCAGTAAAGTTATAAATTGTACTATCTCTGTTTTAATAGGTACTTACACACAGAAAAATGACAGGAAATACAAGTAATTTTCTTCTGGTGACTATCAGTCTTTACAATTTTCTAAATTTTCTTTTAAATTAGAAGTGAACCAGAATGTTTACAAGAAGGCCATTACTGTCAGCTACAGGTTTAAATACAGAGGTCTGACTCTTCTACTTAAATAAATCCATTTTTATCTTTTAGAGGATAAATTTAACATGCTAAGCTTCCCTAATTCAGGCTTACCTCATGTCTGAAAACAAATCCTACGATGGCAGCGACCAGTTCGACCAAAAAAATGAGAGTCAGAAACATTGCATACTGCAGGATAAGAAAGAAAGTCCAAGTCAGCATAAATAAGATACAGCACAGCTGCAAAGGGAGTCAAAGAAAAAAATAATGGTCGTCTTCTCAATTGGTTCATCATGTTTTCATTGAAAAGGGCAGGGAAAATAACAACATGTCTATTTTGAAAGTGGAAACTGGCAGCTGAACTGTTACTTGACAAGTTTTCATAAGGAACAGGAAAAATTGTAAAGGGCCATGGCCAGTTCCAAGAAAGGAATCCTATAACATACAAAACTTTTCTAAAACCAAGAATCAATTCTAATGAAAACAAGGACTCACCAGTTTTAGCATCCATGCAGAAGCTCGGCAGGTAGCAAAACAACCAAAGGTGCCCAAAAGAATAATGACGGTACCAGTACCAATGAGCACGAAGGGGACATTGGTGGCCTTCTCATTTAAAAGAGAAAAGTAATTCTCCAGGCTCACCTTGCCCCAAATGCCAACTGCAAGAAGGATAACGCCAGTGATCTATGTGGGAATTCAGAGAATACAAACAGTTACGCACTGTGTATAGCAGCATCTTCAAAACACAAAGCATGAGGTATTTAAAGCACAATAGGTGTGATATTCTGGGATATGGCAGATAAGGGGGAAGAGTAGAAGGGATTAGGAGCGGAACTGCACACAAGAGTAGGCCGTGGACAAGGCATCTTATCAAAATTCTTAAAATTCATCTTTTTGTGTGTAAACACTAGCCCATGGCATATTTTACCCTAGGGATCAAAACTTCCTTAATTGTCTTACTCCAACCTTAGGAAGAAAACCTTGAAGGTGAAAAAAAAAAAGTGATTTTATGAATTCCAGAAACTTCCCCCGTCCTCTCCAGTTAGGGATGAGCACAGGGTATAAAGGAATGGTACACAAAAGCAAGCCCAAGGATAGACTGGCGGGAGTGGAGGCATACCCATACTTACCTGCGAAACACTCCTCTCTTATGAAGCAGTGAAAAGAAAGACACTATTATGCAAGTGAGCCCTCAATGGGGCCGGGCAAGCCTTGCTTGCCTCTGCAAATGTCCACGGTCACCGTCTGCTTGCTCTGGGGGCTTACCCACCTCGCCTCCCGTATCGAACTCGAACGCTGGTACGTCTGGGTCCCAGCTCAGCCTGTCGGCTGCCTTCGTCCCGCACTCCGACCCCAGCGCCGGCGAGATGCCTGAGCTCTTTGCTCGAGGCCCAGTCACTGGTCGCCGGCGTCAGGGTCCCAGGCGCGATGGCCGCCCAAACCCCACCCCATCCCCGACCTGAGCTCCCGCCGCTCAGGGTCACACCCCCCCACACCTAAAAGCCCGGGATCCCCTGCCAGCCCCAGGCGCCTTCGTCTCTCACCCAGAAAATAAAAGTGTAGATTAGTAGGACGCTCTTGAAACAAGTAATGACTGGTTTAGTCTGCAGTCTCCGAGATGGGGACGCCATGACTAGCCCGAGACCCTGCACCACCGCACCGGGCGATCGGAACACAGAGAGCGAGACGCGGAGTCCCCGAGTCTCCCCGGAAACTGCCGAAAACTTACGAGCGTCCACAACTGAGAAGGGCCGGAAACACTGTACAATTTTCTTGAGGGTAAAGTACGGGAGGCTGTCCGGAAAGTGGCAACAATTTCCAAGCGCCCCCTGCCGAAGGTTACCGAAAACTATATACAAAGGTTCTAGTGTCGGAAATTTCGTAGGTCTTCTAGTGGAGCTTTCTTCATTTTTTTTTCTATCCTAAGGAATCTTTCCCGTCCCCCCCACCCCTCCCCTCTCCTTATAACTTCACCATATTGTTTATATCACCAGCAGAGCCCGCAGCGCTCTGAGATTGGGCCTCCCTGGCCCCTGGTGCCCTAGAGAGAAGAAAAAGAATGAAGAGGTTAAAAGTGACCTAGGAAAATACATGGGAAAATACCCACAAGAAATATATTTGCAAAAAGAAAGCGGGTTGCAAAGCAATACATACAGTCACGTGTGCTTAGACAAAAACTGAAAGGAACAGTGAAATTTACCTCTGGTGGAATTAGGCTGATTTTTTTCTCACTTGTGTGCTTTTCGGTTTGTGAACATTGTTTTATGGGGTAGGAAGGGGAAATATGAATGAATTGAGGAAAACAATCACCACTTGTTGAAAGAATTTCTAAGCTAGGTATTAAAGATAATAATGACTTTTAGAATTTCCCTGTGGGACTTTGCAAAACCTCAGTATTCCTCTCTTCTTTTATCCCCTAAGTAATTGGAAAGTTGAAGGAAAGTATTTTTACATAATAGTGAAATGTAAGTTCAGCTATTCGCTGCAAACTTTTAAAAAGAGAGTGCTATGGAAATTTCATCCCTGGTGAGTGTGACCTCCTCTTAAATGTTAAAACAGAAAGGCACTGTATATTCCAGCCACCTGTTTTTTCCCATCAAAACCCAGCTGATTACAGAGAGGTTAAAACCTAATGTTATGTATTGTGAACATATCGGTTTATGTTGTTACAGCACAGGAGGTGTGTTAAGGTCTGATTTCTCAACAAAAACGTCAGCTCTTTGAGGGCAAAGACTGAGTGTTAAGTGAGTATGTGTTATCTCTAGAGGAATGGGGTTAGAAGGCTATATCAGTTCCCTATGCAATCCAACCCTTCATCATTGACACAAGCTTAATATCACAAGTGGCTATTTACTTTATTGCCATTGCAAAAAGACCTGTATTTGTGGAGGGAGGAGAGATGAATACTCAGACTTTTCTGCTTGAAACGTTGCTCTAAACGTACATCTCAGGACCAGAACACAGGAAAGTTCCATTGACTTGGTCACACAGAGCTTCCCTGTGCTTCGAATATTGACCTAGGACCAGATCCTATAACATCTTGCCAGATGTCTGAGGTGCAAGGCAGCAACTATTGGAAAATTAATTATTGCACTGCCAGGCTTTATACTAAAATTTTTTACTAAAATTTGAAAGGCCTAATACACAAATACATGGAGAATGGATAAATGTACATCTACATACACCTTCAAACACTTTGAGGTAAAGTCGTTAGGAAATAGCAGATATTCAACATGGTGGAGGGGGGTGTCTAAGTACATGCAAAGATTTCTCCCTAGGCTAAATGACCCCAACTGAGGGGTTCTTATACTAAAAACAAGGATCAAGGGAAGTCTTGATAACTTCTTGTCATCTTAAAGAGAAGTTTCTCTGAAATTTAGATTTGTACTATGTACTGGAAGGGATTTACAATGTGAGCCCAAGAGCAAAGAAATATATCTGTAGCTGAAGAAAAAACAAAATAGCAAAGCAAAAGCCACATCTTATTTCCAAGAATGTGTTGACTTTCCTCCTCTCCCTTCCTCTACCACTCACAACGCTGCTTTGTTTGAATAACACTCGGTGCCAAACTAAACCAAATGCTGACCTGGAAATTCATATTCCTATGGCCACAACACCTTGCACCATTGCCTCCTACTCTGCTACACCCACTTCCATCTCCCCACGCCCACCATGGCACCAAACCCAGAAATTCAATTTAGTTCAAACCTAGGCCTGGGTCTGGGTACAAACCCAGACCAAAGGGGCATCTAATCCCATTTAAGGCAATTTAAGAAGTATTTCCCTAGGCCATTAGATAAATGTATTCTTTAAAGTATTAATAATGACTGTGATAATGAGTATTGACTATATACCAACCACTATCGCTAAGAGCTTGATACACGTTACCTCATATGCACGCATCACAAAAACCCTATTATGAGGTTGACACACCTAGCACCTTCATTTTACAGATGAAGAAACAGATTGAAAGAGGCTAGGTAAGCTGCCTAGGACTAAACCTGGGTAACTTCTGTGTCTTTCATCAGAAATGGGGCCCACTTTGTGATGAAACATAGCTGCTGTTGTACACACAGCTGCCTCCTCTCAGAGTAACCTGAGTAAAGACTGCTGTTGCACAGACATTTAACCACAAACAAAGGCTCCTCGGAACCTCTGAAGCTTAAGAACCTCAATGATTGCCCCAATTCTGCCTTGCACTTGGGGTTTTTTGGTTGAGTTTGGCTTTTGCCTTCACTCCAATAGCCCAGTCACCTAGGAAGTAACCCTACCTGCCCCAGAGTGATAAGGCAGAGAGTTCAGTACTTTTTCTTGTTCAACCTCTTAATTTCTCCCTCTTTCTGAGCACAGAAACACAATTTGATGCCAACCACGTAGGAAAAAAAGGAAAATACTTTAAGTATTGTTACTGCTTGTTTTACATTGAACATTTAGTACTCTCCCTTCCCAATTAACTTCCTGTAACCTTCAAGATTAGGTGTAAATGTTTTTCATTGCTAGACATCAGGCAAGCGAAATGACATAAACAAGGGCTCACTGTTAAGTCAGACCTCCCTTGTGCCACCTCCAACCTCCCTCCATCCCTACCAAGCCCCTCATCCCAATACAATCTCAACTGATTTCCTACTGCTTTTCCAATGTGAATTTTCCGCTCTGTACCAGGTAAGTACGATCAACCCCCCAATAAACAAGTGCTATTTCCTAGTCCCTGCCCACCCTCTACTTCACTCATACTTTCTGCTTCTACTGAATATCCAGCTCAATCCCAACTCAGTAAAAAGCCCCTCCTCCCTCACCTCTTTCTCTAACAGCATAACTGTCTAAACTACACACTCACTCCCATTAACTCAGCCGTTTAGTCAATTACTGCAATATCTGCTTTGCATTTCTACTTACCTATTCTACATCCTACCGTCTAGATGTTCAGAAACTACTGAAGAGCTAGTGTGGCAGGGCCCCTGTGTCCCCTTTTATACTGTCCTCAGTACCCTAGGACATAATGCCCTATTGATGAGTTCATTTTCTGCTCGGCCAATCCCTGTTGAGCTGATTGCTCACTGAGGTCATAACTGGTCTCTGGGAGTAACCACACAGTAATTACTCAGGATTGATTGTTGAAATTAAATAAAAAATTAAATGTCTAAGCCATCCCAGTATCACACTATCATAAAACAGAAAAAATTAAATTGAGTACCTAGATAATGTCTTGGGACATTCCTACTGTCTCTCTTAGGAACCACTAAAAAAAAAAAAAAATCAGCTGTATCACTGAGAGTACATCTTATCTCTTATTCACATAATAACTTTACCATTTTCATTTTCTAATCCGTTTTCTAGCATCCCTTCAATTACCTTTGGCTAAGTGACTATCATAGAATTTAAAGGCACATCCTACTTGTTTTCTTAATGTCTCACATTTTGTATTACAGCCATCAGATACCTCATTATTTAAACAGCTAATTCATATGTACAGTTTAAAAAATCCGTTGCGTTAATGGAATATCTCTTTATTTCTATTGTCTCTTGTGTATTCCCATTCTCTTTCTCTGAAATTCTATTCTTTGTCTATTTTTATTCCTTTTTTTTCCCATCCACTCCTTTCAGATGCTCTGTGAAACCTTTACTCCCTTTCCATCCCTGATCTTGCCTTCTTCAAAAAAGCTCATAATATATAGTTTGGGACACACAGACATGATAAATACTTTTAAATGGTATTAAAATTCACAATTCTATGTCCATTTTCTAAGAAAGTTGTTTCTAGTCTAGCCTGGTTGAGCTTTCCTGAGATCTCAACTAGGGAAGTCAGTTTCCATATCTAATATTTCGTAAAACAATACCTTATTTACTGCTGAGGGGCTGCATATTAAAAGTCTTAAAGTTGAAAATGGTACTGAACTTTAAGAAACTTAAGAAATTGACTATGCCTGGATGCTGTCAGTCTCCTTATCTAGCTTTGTCTTATCTTCCCAACCAAACCATAGGGAGAGGTGTTTTATTTCACTTTATAGCCTTGCAGTGTCTAACATTGTGTTTTACACACTGAGTACATGCTGCAGAAACATTGGGGTTATTATGATTAACCTCACTTGTTTTGAGTGAGCTCTTTATATTATTAATCCCAATGTTTCACAAGAATGCTGTCCCTCTCCTCTGACATATCCCCTTACTTTGATCTCCCTATGATTTCCATATTCTCCCCCTTCACTTTCTTCTTTAACCTCTTTCTGGAACCCCTCTATCCCACTCCTTCCAGCTTTCAGTGGGATTGAGGCCTTACGCAGCATCTTCACCCTGGCATGTGCTAGGTTTTGTGTTGGATGGCTGGGGATATGAAGAAGACTAGGATAAGGTTCTTGCCCTCTAAGCACTCATAGTCTAGTAGGAGTCAGAGATAAGTAAAGAACAATGTCAATAAGTGTGAAAAGTCCTAAAATGGAGATATGTACAAAGTGCTGTGAGAGAAAAGGAAGGCAAAGTTAACCAACTTGGGCTGGGATGGGCTGGGGGAAGCTTCTCAGCAGCAAGGGTGGGTAGAGCTCCAATAAACCAAGAAAGGAGGGAAGGGACTATAGAGCAGAGTGAACACGTCTGTGCAGAGGCTCCGGGGTGCGAAAGGAAGAACAAGAAGCTCAAGGAAGAGCATGAGGCGGAGTGTGTCCAGAATTAGGAGGCATGGGATGTGCTTAATACTAGGCTAAGGACATAGATGGGGTTTGCTTGTGAAGAGCATGCTATGCAATGCTAAGGAACTCAGACTGTACGCTATGCCAAGAGGGAGCCAGTAAAGGGGGGTTTAAGAAAGAAAAACTCTGGTAGAATATATTACTTTACTTGTTCCCTCTCTCTCTCTCATATCTCTCTCTCTCTCTCTCTCTCTCTCACACACACACACACACACACACACACTCAAACACACAGACACACACATTTAATATATTCACTATTTTCTCACATATAAGTTTAAAATGACCTCCTATATCTGATTTTCTGGCCCTACCCTATTTATTCAACTTTGTTTTCTGTCTCTCCCTGAAACCTCTTAGCAGTTGGCCCCTCCCTCCTCTGACCTAACAGTGAGCTCTTGTTGATGGCATTTCCTTTGCCTGAGACTAGACCAAGGCCCATCTCTTCTCAGATGCCCCCCTCCTCTGACCTCCTCCTAGCGTCCTTAAAGTCTGTAACGCAGCTTTTGGTAGTTTATTACCATAGGGAGTTGTATTGTTTTATAATTGATTGCATCCCTCTTCTCTCCCCTACTAAACATAAACTCCGGGAGCTGGAGAGTAAGCTCCATAAGATCAAGAATCACACATTACTTGCTCACCACTGTATCTGCACTGCTCAGCTTATAGTAGATGACCAATAAAGATTCCCTAAACACACGCAATTGTAATTAAGAACATGCTTGTTTGATGTCTGTCTCCTCTGTTCCATGAGGGCAGGGATTTTTGTCTGTTTTGTTCACTGATGTTTCTCAAATACCTGGAACCACGTGTGGCACATAATAGATGCTCAACAAGTACTTGTTGAATTAATTATGAATTACAATGCCTGGGATTTTGTCTGTCTTGTTCACCACTACATCCACCACTGTTGACGTGGTAGATACTTGATAAATTTATGGAATGAATAAGGCCATGACGATCACGTCTTCTTTTTTTTTTTTCTTCTTCTGAGACGGAGTCTCACTCCCTCACCCAGGCTGGAGTGCAGTGGCGTGATCTCAGCTCACTGCAACCTCTGCCTCCCAGGTTCAAGCAATTCTCCTGCCTCAGCCTCCTGAGTAGCTAGGATTACAGGCACCGCCACGCCCGGCTAATTTTTTTTGTATTTAGTAGAGATGCGGTTTCACCATGTTGGCCAGGCTAATCTTGAACTCCTGACCTAATGATCTGCCCTCTTTAGCCTCCCAAAGTGTTGGGATTACAGGCGTGAGCCGCTGCGCCCAGCCACATCTTCTTTACATAGGTATTACTCTGTTAAGCACATGGTAGATACTCAATACATATTTGTCACAGGTGGATTGGAAATGAAGCAGGCTCAGGCTTGCTTTTGAACTTTGTATTCTCATAAGTACAATTCTTCCCATTATGACTGAGAAGGGGTTACCAATTTGCTTGCATACACAGGAGAAACACCCTTTCTACAACAGCTTAAAATTCTTCCTTCTATAACCACTGATTTTCCAAGAGATGGAAATGTCAACTGTGAGGGGAGGGAGATTGTAAGTAGCTGGTCTGTGCTATGGCAGAACAGTCTTATTATCAGATACTAAAATGAAAAAATCTTGCTGAGTGAAATGTAACCCTCCATCAGAGACCACTGGGATGCAGCTAGATTTGCTCAAACAGCCTCCCACTAAAGCCTCTCCAGGCATGCTTTCCTTCCATTCTTAGTAAGGGAAATCAGTCTTGATTCTTCAGGCAAGAAGTACATGGGGTTTTTTTGTAAACAATATAATCTTAACAGAAACTGAAGTCCAGAGAAGTTAGGTCACTGGCATGAGGGTTTCAAAGTGTATCTGACCTGATACCATATAGATTGCAAGATAATTCAGAGTTGGGAGCCTAAGGAATTACAGGAGAAATCTTAGGGAATGTCAAAATCAGCTACAGTCTTCCCCTCTCTTTGGTGTTTGTGTTTGTGAAATTCCTTTTCATTCAATTCTTATGTCATGCTGAGTCATAAAAAGAAGTGTTCTTCAGTGCAACACATCTCTGGAGGCCGCTTAAGCCAGCCTCTGTGTTAGTCATCACTATACTCACAGGCTTGGAGCCAGTGCCATTCACACTTCCCCCTCTTCTGCAGCAGACAGACTGAGTTCCTCTAATCCCTGTGTTCCTTCTCCCCCATCTTTCTAAAACCCTTCTCTGAGAGAGGAATAACTATAGCTTCGGGGATAATATAGCTTTAAGGAAACTTTTGGCAGATGCGGACGTCGTAACATCTGGGCAGTGTTAACAGAATCCCGGAGGTCGGGACAGACCAGGAGCCACTCGTTCTAGGAATGTTGAAGTAGAAGGTTTTTTCCAATTGATGAGAGGAGCAGAGAGGAAGGAGAAAGAGGAGAGAGAAAAAGGGCACAAAATACCATAAAACAGGTAAGATCTGCAACTAATCCCCCCACACTCCACTACCCCAATGCACAATTGTGAAGGGGATAAGGAGATCCAGAACTTGGGCAACATGGCTGGGGGTGGAGGTCGGGGGAGAAGTTATTTTATGAAGCTGGATCATATGCTGCTTTTCATTTATGCTGTGACCTGACTGCAAACACATGTTCCCAGCAACTTCTTGGCCCACAGCAGAGGGATGGGATGGTTGACTCTAGTGAGTCAAGTATTAAGCCTGAGATTGGGGAGAAGCTGGACACGTAAGAGGTCACAGGTTCAGAGTATTGGGTCTGAAAAAGGAATGCCTCTGCTCCAGAACAAAGGAACTAGATGGAGGCTAGATGTGGGAGAGGGGTTGGTGATTAGTTATCTAACTGTTTGTTTTCCCAGATCTCTCTTTAATCTCCTCTTCCTCCTCCTTTTGTTGCCTCTTTCTGTGTTTATCCATCTCTTTCCTTCAGCTCTGTCAGATTTTCTTTCCTTCCATCCCACATCTTTCTACTTCCCTTTTCTCCTTCGTTTACTCTTTTTCTCCATCCTGCCTCCCTGTCACTTTCTAGACAAAGTCTGAAACCAAGTAGCAATGAATTAGAAAATAAATTTTTCCCTTTCTTGGGCTTTGCATGTCCCTTAGGAACTCTGGCCAGAATCTACCACCTTTTTGTTTCTCTATTTCTAGGACTGACTCCTCCCCTGAGCATGGCATTTCATTGAAAGCATGTGAGTGAATGGGTGCTTGCTGAAATGCCCAGTGGCCAATTTATACCAATGGGCAGCAAATTTTAATACTGTCATTTAAAAAGTATTTGCCTACTGGGAACCACAAAACTCTCATCCCATTAGGGTGAGGACAGGGCAGGAAGTGAGAGGGCAATTGGAGCTTGTTCACCCTCTCCTCATGTACCTCAGCAGGTCCTCCTCTACCTCGCTGACTTCCTGCTGGCCCAGCAAGGTAAAACTAGAGGGTTAGGCTGGACTTGAAAGCCAGAAGCCACTACCAAACCACTAAGCCTTAAAACCCAAAGCTAAGAACAGAGCCAGAGTATAGTTACTGCCTGGGAGACTAAAGAAGGGAAACATTCAGTCCTGTCCAATACAAAATTGGTAATAATATTGTCTAATATATAAATTACTTCCCTATATGACAGGCAATAATCAATTCATGAGGTAGAGAGTATTATTATTCCGATTTTATAGATGAGGAAACCGAGGCTCAGAGAAGTTAAAAAATTTGTCCAAGACCCCATAGCTAACAGGTGACAGAATTGGATTCACATCCAGACCTGTGTAACGTCAGTGTTCAAATTCTTAGACCACATATGCTAACACTTTCCCAGATTAGTGGCTAGGAAATGTTAGTTGAATGAATGAAACCTAATGGTAGCCTTTAGGTCACCAGGTTCCCTACTGGTTCCATGTAATTTTATGTTGGCCTTTTCCTAGTCTCAGTACTTCAGTGTCCCTCTCTACAACTTGGACCATGGAGCATTTGCATCTGATCCCACCAGGGTCAGTTGAAGATTGGTTGTTTTACGTCCTCCTCCTCCTGGGAGGAAAAGGGACCACAAATAATGAACAGAGTCTTGTCATTCTATAACATGAAAGATTCTTATGAGGGAGATAATATAAAAAGCATTCATTAATTATAAAATCTCTCTTCTTCCTCACAGATCCCATATTTCTGCTTCCCCACTTTTGGAAGTTAATTGATGGCTGACTTCTGAAAGTCACTTTTCTTTACCCTGGTACTTCAGGCCATACATACATCTTTTCTTGTCTCCATAATCCTCCCTTTCAAGGATGGCCAGTCAACTAACTCAAAGAGGAGCTCTCTCTCTGCTGTTCTTCCTGACTCCAGCAGTGACACCAACATGGTATGCAGGTAAGTTCTAGGAGCTGTTGTCTGTTATTTCCCAGAAGGATAAGTCCTAGACCAAGACTTGGAGAAGAAAGAGTTAGACTACAAAAAGAGACACTTATTTTCTATACAGAGAAGTATTAAAGGACAATAAAGATGGTTAAACATTGCAACAGACTACCAAAGGAGGCTTTTAAGGCAGTCTAACGAGCTATTTGAAATAGGCCACACTAGCACAAACATGAGAAGGTTGGACATCACCTTTGAGGCCATTGTCTCACCTGCTTGTGTACTTAGCTTCCTGAAAACCATTTTCTAATATGAAATCCTTTATGAGTCAAATCTTTATTAATATTAATCCTTTTATGAGTCAAATACCCTTGTCAAGACCACAAAAATGGACTTAGACCACAAATCTCATTTGGGAAAAATAAGGGAGCAGGCAATCTATTCAAGGGAAACAAGAATCCATCAGACTTCTTCCCTCCCTCCCTCCCTCCCTGACCTTATTTATAAAATGAGATTTTTATAGCCCTTTTATGCCAAAGCTGTTAGTGGTAATACAGATCACATCCTTTTAATCAGGAATTTCCCAGTTTCTTTTCATTTGTTCTTTACTTCAGAAGGGATGGAGTTTTCTGGATTCCTGAACATTTCATTCTTCACCCAGAGAGCCAGAGAACAAACTCAGTGAGAAGAGGGAAAGGGGAGAGGGAAGGGATGAGGGCAGGATAATGAAGTGGCATACAGAGGTTTTATATGGGGCCCAGCTGGCATTCCAAGTGCTAAGAATATTCTGTGGCCTGCAGTGTCTGCCCTCACAGGGGCCAGTAGGGAGGAGTGGGGGAAGGAGACAGGCCCAACCAATGGGGTTAGGAAAATATCCAGAGATGAGTAAATAACAAACTGCTCCCATCACAGCCACAGTCATTGCAGCTAAAATTTTCCACATGCCCTTAGCTCCTGGTGGAGGCCTTTGGCAGTAGCTCTGTTTGTCTGGAACAGCTGCATCAAGTTTTCAAACAAATATGCAAACTTCTTCCCCTTTTTGGCTTAACCTGGCTTTGTAGGGGGTGAAGCACAAGGACTGACATTGAGATGAAAAAATTCAAGTCAAGCCCTTGGCAGAGCATATCCTGTTTGGGGTTAAAGGTGCCCCCAAGTCTCCAGGAGATAAATATGCGACTGTCCTCCCCAACCTCCCCTAGCTTCAGTTCATTTACAGAGACCAAAATCCAGCCAAAGACCACAGGACTAAAGCAGTGGAGATTACATGGCTCGAAGCCCAGTTCTGAACACCTGTATGAAACCTCATGGCATGCAAAGGTCTTTACCTTTCCCAAAACAGAAGCCTGAGCTGTTGGAGTCGTGAGCACAGAGCAGTTTTTTAAAAGTTAGATTCAGTTGAGGTTCTCAAAGGGCTATTTGAAAAGATGGAACTCCCCACTTCCACATGAATCACGAGTCACCACTCCTGAGGAGCTCAGATTGGTGAGGCCTCCACCAGCCCTGCAATCCCACTCATCCTTCCCTCTTCTATCCTTAGGAGACCACATGATGAGAGACATTTCCCCTACACTGCTAACTCAGCTGTTGGGCTTGCCTTCATGCATTTGTTCATTCATTCCTTCAACAAATATTTATTGAGCACTCTTTATGCATCCAGGACTGTTTTGTTTTCTTCTACAGCCTTGTCTTCAAATGAGCATAGCACAGAAAAGCAGCCAAATGTGGATTCAGGGCTAATCAGAAAAAGGGTCCAGGAATAATCAGCAGTGGTTGGGAAAAGTTAAGAATATAAATAAAGCAAAGAATGGGTTAAAAGTGTGTGCTGGCGTATCTGTGCAGCCCAGAAAGTCAGACTGTATTTGTCATCATAAACCAAGGATTAATATGAATCTTGAAATAGTCTTTTAACTATCAATTACATGTCTAACTATACTTTTGTGAAGGGCAGTGCTTAGAGGGCCTGACTGTACTATGGAGGTTGGAGGAGCCCAGTAACAGACCACACAGTAACCAAGCACTGATTGATCTAAAGGAACTGAGGAATGCTCCCCAAGTCCTTCCCCCAGGGCTAAAGAGGGACAAGCAGACAGAATAATGTAGGGAGTGTTCCCCTTTAATTTCATTCTTATACCCATCTAAGAATTCCACCATTTGCAAAAAAGAAAAAAATACTCAAAGATAGGCAAAGAGGGGAAATGGGAAAATGGAAAGGTGTAAAGTGGCAAGGTGGTCTGAACTTTCTCCACACAAAGCGTACTTCCGCACCCTGATGGAGACTGTAATTATCTTATTGAGTCTTCCCCCACAGTTTTCCTACATCCCCTGTAAATCTGGAATGATGTAAAATGCTTGGTGGCCTTCGATCCCACACACACAGTAAAAAAGCTGGATTGCAAAAGAGATTTTGGACTTTTACCCCAGTTGGACATCGTCAAAAGCTCTCCCCTAATCACCATCTTCAGTGGAGTGTCTGAGTTTGGTATCTAGGGGGTCAAGCAGACCTGGGCTGGAATGCCTACTCTGCTACTTAATAACTGGGAGACCTTGGACAACCCCCTTGGTTCCTCAAGCCCGTTTCTTCGGCTTTATATTGGAGCACATTAGTAATACCTACCCTGCTGACATGTTATGGTGACATAATGAGCTAACATATGTCATGTGCTTAACACAGAATGTGAGCTGAGAGATGTTAGCAGCCATTGTCATGTCTTCTTGTTGTTGTTACCATTATCAAGCCACAGGGCTTTGACACTCCTGTTTTCTCTTCTGGTAAACAGTCCTTTGCTCCCTGCTGAGCATTTCTTCAAAAGCTGGACTCTGTAACCGGAGCAGGGAGACCTAATACTTTAGGGAATCACACACATCTGGCCTCCTGTTTACAAGACCTATAAGGCTTTGAGGCTAATACCAAACTGAAACCGCTGACGAGAATTCCATGACCCCCCCCTCCTCCCCCGCGCCCACCAATGAAACGTCCCGTTATGGGAGAAAATAGAGCAGGGGAGATGAGGCCTGAGAAGAAATAAACAGAAGCCAGAAGAACTGAAATGGGAAAACAGAAAAAAAGAAAGAGGGGAAAAAGAAAAAGTGAACTCTTTCCTTTGGAATGAGGGCAAACCAACGAGGACATGATTTCATAAGGCAAACTTTCAATTGATTCATTCCCTTGTTCACTAAATTGGACTGGTTTCCCAATACCTCACCTCCCCCACCCCTAGTCTGGGCTTGTGGGGAATGGAGGAGCTTCATCATCTCGCCCTCTGCTCCGCCCTTTAGTGCAGGGGGCCCTGTGCCTCTTCCCAAGAGGAGGAGGCGAGCTTGTGGCCTGAGTGTTTACACAGGCCAAAGGGCTCCAGCACTAAAACCCAGCCCTGTCCTGGAAGCACACCCTCTCCTGGAAATAACGGAATTGTCTCTTGACTCCAACACAGCTGGCTACGCTATTCTTGTGCGTGCGTTAGGGCTCAGGGAGGCTGGAAGGAAGGCTTCCGGAAACTTTGCTCCGGAAAGGACCAAGTTGTTTTCCAATTAGTTCGTATTCATGACCGATTTCCTGCCGTCTGGTGGAACACACTGTTTAGTCTCCCAGACAGCCGCAGACCTGCCTCCACTAGGGACTGGGCCACTTAACTGGATGGAGATAGATTAGGAATGTTCCCTAGCTCGGCAGCTCCGTTAAAGTTCCTTGTGATTAGAGAAACAGAAAATTTATCCGAAGGACTCTGCCGTCTCTGTTCTCCAAACCAGGGCAAAGTGCTCACAAAACTGCTTTCATTTCCTCTTGCCTTTTAAGTCACCCCTCTTGGCCTTGGCACGCCACCCCCAGCAATGGTAACCCAATGACAAAAAGGCCCGTGCCCTGTGGGCTAGTGGAAACCTGAGTAACTGTTTCTCTTTGAGGACTGTGAGCAGGACTGTCACTAGGGGGAAGACACAGGTTCTGTTTTTTCCTCCTATCTGGGACCACAGTCCATTCTCAGAGCTTAGTCCCCAGTGTCTTACCAAGACTCATGTGTTGCTTCAAGGAAATGGGTCATTTATAGTCCAGATTGACAGGATTGATGTATGGTCAGGTTCAATTTTTTTCTTTTAGATGGAGTCTTCTAGTGCTCGCAGTAACTGGCCCCACAACCATGAGCCTGCCCTCTATGCAACTGAGGTGCTGAGATTCACCCACAATAATTCTGCTGCCTTACAACACAGGATTTCCCCCACTAAATATCCACCTGGCTCCCCACCCATGGAATGCCATGTCCTAAGGAAGTGACAAAGTTGGACGAGAGGGGGAAGGTTGGGAAGGACTTGAGTGAGAAATCAAGACACCATCTTGATATTGTCTTCCTTATTCTAGGTTCTGGCTACTATCCAGATGAAAGCTACAATGAAGTATATGCAGAGGAGGTCCCACGGGCTCCTGCCCTGGACTACCGAGGTAATCTACCCTGCTTCTCAAGCCCAGAAAAGCTCTTTTCTGGCCTCAGACCTAGGCCCTTCCCTGAAGCATCCCCATCAGGCTTGGCTCACATGTGCCCAAACTGCAGCACAGGGAATCAGGGGCTGTGATTTCTCGTCATGAACTTGGGTTACTGACTTACTGTGTGACCTCACCTCTCCAGCCTGAAGGTTCTCCATATATTATTAATCATTAAGTATCGACTAGTTACTCAATGCCTAATCCTGTGCAAGGTAAGCCTGTGGGTGATACAAGGTCTCAGATAGGGTTTTGTCCCCATCATGTAGCTGACATTCTGTTGGGGGTGATGGGGGTGTATAAAATTAGCACATGTAGGGCAAGTAAGCGTGAAGCTATGTGATAGCAGTAAATGCAGTAGGATTTAAGAAAAAGAAGTCAGGAAAGGGGTCACGAAAGATGACATTTAGGCTAAGCTTAGAATGATAGGTGGGATTTTGAGAACTAGAAAGGGGAGGGGAGAGCACCCAGAAAAGCAGATGGCTAAAAATGTGGAAGTAAGAACAAACCTGGTAGAGGAGGGAGCTAAGAAGAAACCGGCCTGATTGGAGGAGATGGAAGGTGGAGGGAGTAGTATCAAAGAAAGTTAAATATAGGTCAGGTGCAGTGGCTCATGCCTGTAAACTCAGCACTTTGGGAGGCCGAGACAGGTGGATCACTCGAGGTCAGGAGTTTGAGACCAGCCTGGTCAATATGGTGAAACCTCATCTCTAACAAAACTACAAAAAATTAGCCAGGCATGGTGGCACGTGCCTATAATCCCAGCAACTCCGGTGGTTGAGGCGGGAGAATCGCTTGAACCCGGGAGGTGGAGGTTGCAGTGAGCCGAGAGCTGAGATGGCACCACTGCTCTCCAGCCTGGGCGACAAAGCAAGGCTCTGTCTCAAAAAAAAAAAAAAAAGTTAAATATAAAGAGTGAGACCAAATTAGGAAAGACTCCGTGATCTAGGGACAATACTAATGAGAGGCAGGAAAACTATCTGTGATGAATGCTGCACAGTAAGTAATTCCTGCATTAAAAGGGAAGTTAGGCCAGGTGGTATCTGATATCCCTTCCATTTCTGATTCTTTGTTTCTTTGCTTTGCAAGCCAGGCAGAAGAGTTTAGCTGTTGTACTAGGATCTACAGGGAGCCCATCACATGTTTTTGCACAGGGACATGACACAATAAATTGTCATTTTAGAACATTAACCTGATTATTCTATGCAGAAATAGGGGTTCAGTGGTTAGGCCTGAGTCAGGGAGACTCTCCAGGAACCAGCTACAATAATGTTGGCTAGAGATGACTGAGGGTGGTGGCAAAGAAATGGAAGGTACAGATGAACCCCATAAATGTTTCAAAGAAAGAGACGACAAGACTTAGTACAGACGTGATGTACCAAGAGGCTAAGAAACAAACTGATGTCTGAAAGCACTCAGTCTGTACACCTGGAAGAATTGTAGGACCCCTCTCAGAAAGACAATGTTAAAAAAGAAAACTGATTTGGTAAAGATGCCCTACAGGCAGCTGGAAGCGGAAAGATGAAGTTGTGTGAGTCATCAGCTTAGATAGATGGGTTGTCTGAGGGAGCAGAAGGCCAGGGTCAGAGCTTTAGAAGACATCTGTAGACATGAGTAGGAGAAGAGGAACCAGCAAGGGGAAAAAAAAGAGAATTAGTGGTCAGTCATGTAGGAAGATATCTGGGCAGTACCTGTCATATTACAGAAGCCACAGGAGAAGAGAGTTTTAAGGAAAGGAAGGGGTAAGAGATAAATTGTGTCAAATATTGCAAAGAAATCTAATTGAGGGTAGAGAAAAGATTTTATTCGGCAAGGAGGTAAACAGTGACCTTTAAGAAAAACAGTTTCAACTGAGAAATTATCAGAGCTTTGAGCTCCTCTGAGCTCCTTCGTAGCTACCTTCTACTCATGTTCTTCTCACTGCCAAATGGTCCACACCCACTCCCTCTCTCTCTCAGCACCCACTAACTCCTAAACTCTCTACAGTCTGTTTCTCACCCACTCACAAATCTACAACCTGAAATGACATCTCTTGAAGAAAAAAGTTTTCTCCCATGAGAGAACCAATTTCCATGACCCTTTCTTGAGCGTGTCTCTCAGTCTCTCTAGCAGCAGTGAGCACCTTCCTTTCTTCTTAATCCCCCTTCCTTGGGCTCCATGGCATTTCACAATTCTGGTCAGAGCTGAAACTGGGAAAGGAGATGGACTCTCTGGTGGTGACAATAGAGAGAATGAGACTAGGATCTGAACTTGGGTCAACCCTGACCTGTCTCCTGAGCTAATGGACTACATCTCCAACCGCTGATACACACTTCCATTTGGAGATGTCTAAAACAAAAATATTTCCTCTCTCCTGAAAAGGGTTCCACCTACTGACCTTCCTACTTCTGATAACACTACCATCATTCTCTTAGTTACTCAGACTTCAGAATACCTCAGTGTCACCTCTAATAGGTCCTGTCACCTTTAACAGCCCCCTTTTCCTCATCACGTCCTGCCAGTCAGTCACAAAGACCTGTCATTTCTTTATTAATCCATGGGAATAAAACTTTGACCTCACACATGGATAATACAGTTGCCACTTCCTGCCAGTCAGTCACAAAGACCTGTCATTTCTTTATTAATCCATGGGAATAAAACTTTGACCTCACACATGGATAATACAGTTGCCTCTAACTGGATTATCTGACTCATGTTTCCCCCTCCCCCAAACCTAGTGACCCACAATGATCATTTTAAATCAGAATCTGGCCTCGGCCTAGCTTCCCAGACTAACAACTTCCTACCTGTTCTCCCCACACGAAATCTGCACTTTGGTCAGGCTGTGTTCAGTACTGTGTTCCCAACTGCTTTAGCCCACACTGAGCTTTCCCTTGCCCATTTATTCGTTCATTGAATATTTATTGAGTACTTATTAGGTACCTCTTCTGAAATAAATGTTTACTGTCTAGACACAGTTATTTGGCCTTCATTATGCACTGCCTCTTTGGTTTACTTTTCATTACCCTCAAGAAAATAGTTCTGTATTTAACTGTATTTAACTATATTTCTGTATTTAACTGTATTTAACTGTATTTGTGTATTTAACTGTTTTTAACTGTATTTAACTGTTTTTAACTGTATTTAACTGTTTTTAACTGTATTCCTGTATTTAACTGTTTTTAACTGTACTTGTGTATTTAACTGTTTTTAACTGTTTTTAACTGTATTCCTGTATTTAACTGTTTTTAACTGTACTTGTGTATTTAACTGTTTTTAACTGTATTCCTGTATTTAACTGTTTTTAACTGTACTTGTGTATTTAACTGTTTTCAACTGTATTTAACTATATTTAAGGAGTCATGTGTGTTACTCTCACACAGCCATGGTTAAAAGTAGATGCTGACCACTAGCATCCTGGGAGCAGAAGCCAGATTATGGGAGACTATAGTTTGGAGAGGTGGCTAGTAAAAAGCAACAGATGCAGAAGGCACTTTCACAGAGTCTGCAGCCCTATTATTACCATTAACCTTCTTCACTGGTTCTTCTTAAATGAGCATAAAGCCCTTTGGAGAAATATAAGCTGCATAAGGGCCTTTGGTTTGGAGGTCTAGTGTCTCAAAGCTCCTTTTAGGACTTAGTCTTGGCATAAAATGAATTGAGTGAAGTTAGCAATGATGAGGGGGAGGGAGTGTCCAGGAAAAGTACAACCTGAGGCCCCAGCCTCCCATGTAAAGTCTTTGTGACCTTATAATCAATAGCTCTGCAACTGTAGTGCTAAAGAACTTTCCGTAATTTGGAGATGGTGTCTCCAGATGGCAGTCGTGTGTCTCAGTCACGTGCTCCAAATGAATGCTGGGAACCACAGCATGTTGCTGCTTCAGGAAAGATGGGACACTGGCTCAAACCCAGACACTGACTTAGGGAAAAACATTCACAGGGTTGAATATTTTACACATGAAATTTCGTTTGGTTCTCACAACCAGCCCTATGGTATGGTTTATTATCCCCCATTTTACCAACCAGGAAACTAAGCTCAGGGAAGTTTTAGATTCAGAGAGTCACAGAGAATTTAAACTCAGATCTGTCTGACTCTAGAGCCATGCTTAATCCATCTCTTTCATCAAAAATATAACTCATTGTTCTAGAAAAGAAGACTGGGAAAAAACCCAGAACAACCAGATCATTATTTCAAAGCAAATTGGCATGTCATTTGCTATCATCTTCACTCATCCTGCACTTTCTGTCATTCCCTTATCCTGACTCCTAGCTTGGAGTCAGCTGGGCTGTTGCTTTCCTTGCAGCTTGCCTCATCTGTGAGCAAGCTAGTCACACTGCCTGGGTTATCTGAAGATAATAGAAGATAACAGAGAAGGCCCTTTCAAAACTGTTGTCAGCACTTTATTTTCTGCATACACCTTAAAAAGAGATAGACAGATGAATGGCTACAGAAAGCAGAGACAACGGGCCTGAGTTCAAATCTCAGCTTCTCCCCCTTCCAGCTCTTGGACTCTGGACAAACACCTATTATGTGCCAGTCACTGCTATGTATTTTATAAATGTTATTTCATTTAAATAAATTGCACGCTTACTATGTAGTGATATGGAAAGATCTCTAAATACAACTGTTAAGTTTACCAAACAAGCAATGGAGGGAAGAGTGGACATAATATGCTACCCTATGTATTAAAAAGGAAGGAAAAATAAGAAGCTATGCCAACATTTGCTTTATTTGCACAAAGAAATATTAAAAGTAGTTCTTTGGGAGGGGACTAAGTCAGGGTGGGCATGGGAGCAGGGGTTGGGGGAAGACATTGTACTTTGTAACTTTTTATACTTTTGAGGTTTTGAGTCATGTGGATATATTATCTATTCAACAAGGTCAGTGTTTACTTCAAAGTAGTAGCCTATTTTATATCTGCAGTGGCGGACACTGCGGTTACATAGGACATGGGGTTTGGAGCAGACAAAGCTTGGGTTCA